GCCGGGCACAGAAGTCACTGGCTTGCAACCACTGTGGCTAGATTCAGTTTTCATTACAATGTGGTAAATCACGTGAAAACTAAAACCAAAATCAAGCCTTATTTTTTCTGTTTGTGGATTTCTGTCTCCTTTTTATCGTGCGCATGCGCATACAATGCCGCTGCACCCGCTCTCACAGAGCGGCCTGTATTATGTGTAATATTCACACAAATTAGCTCATTGATGATAAGTAACCGCAGCTACAGTGTTGGAAATGTATAGTCTGTGGTGACTTTATGACGCTAGTGGGATTTTTACATTGTGCTGTAGGCCTGTGTAGCCTCTGTGTGAAGACTCTGTGTAAAGGTATGTAGCCTATTTAATAACTCTCAGCATTTTCTGTGTGTGTGAGCTTCTGCTCCTCTGGTGAATGAGCAGTGCTGGGCTCATTTTGGTGAACTGATGGACTTAGTAATAGAAAACTGATCTTATAGGTATTTCTCCACTACTAAAGTAGCTTCAACCAGGCATTGCCACTAGATGGAGCTGTATGGCATGAACATGTTGAATCAAAGAGTCAGAAACCAAGCCTTTACTGTTACAGGCTATAGATGCTACAGTTTATTGTCATCGTTACTGTTCATACAACTGCATCATAGACAGTCTGCACTGCATTTCACACACCTGTGTAGATGAAAGACTCTGTGGGGTTTACTTCAGAAAGTTTCTATTTGTGAGAAATTCTGTTGGGCTGGGTCTGACGTAGGCCTACGTTCACAGCAGGCAGGCATCTGTCATGGACCTGACAGTGAAGGAGGTTAGGTCTATAGGCCTGTCTCTGATTATCATCTGTTAGTAGACTGATGTTCTTTCACTCATTGAGGGTAGTATTATATTTAGACTACATCTTGTGCTGCCCCTTATTGTCCAATAGAAAGCAAATGCAACCTACTGGTCATCATCCTCGCTTTCATCAGAGATGAAGGAGGTCACACAGGCATCAGATCCACACTGCAGGGAGTTATAGAAGTTACACATCAAAACTTAAAAACTTAAAGCTAATTTGTGTGAATATTACACATAGTCCAGGCCTTTTGTTATCGCTGTTGAACTGACAGTTAATTTCGGCCATAAACACTAATTCCTTCTGGCTTTGTGGGGGCAGGCACAGTGCTCACTGTCTGCGCATGATAAAGAGTCAGAAATCCACCAACAGGAAAAACAGAACAAGGCTTGTTTTCTGGTTTTGGTTTTCATATTTGGTTTCTCACTTGATTGTGAAACCAACAGAAATGTTCAGTGGTTTTCCTTTGTCCACATTTAGGAAAAATGAAACTGAACCATTTTCAGGTTAAATGGATCGAATAATTCATGGACCAATATGACTCAGAATGAAGTAGACTTTTGCTCAGATTTGTTTTTCTATGATGCAGCTTCTGTGTGAGAAAGAGGGAATGAATTCAATCAACAGAATCTTTGACTGTAGAATGAAATGCTTTTATGTCATTTACAATACTGACTTTCAATTTTTACTTTACCCCTTTTTGTGGCTGCCTTCTGAACATGGTACAGCACCGATTTGAAGTTGTTGCATTTTCTCATTTGTAAATTATAAAGAGTCAGAAATCCACCAACAGAAAAACAGAACAAGACTTGTTTTCTGGTTTTGGTTTTCATATTTGGTTTCTCGCTTTCTCATTTGTAAATTATAAAGCTTTTTATTCCAAACCTCAGAGGAATTTGTTCTTAATTGAATTTTTCCATTAATCATCACATTTTCCAGTTCATGGGTCAATTTGAAAATGAGTGAATGAACCAACTCTACAGACACCTGTAAGGTGGACTAGAGAATTCAAATAAAACCTGGTGAATAAGAAGCATCACTCATTTTTTCCTCATCACATCAGTGACCTGTTCCTCTCTTTGTCCCTCCAGAGCTGCCACAGCAACATGTCTGTAAGAAGGAGGAGGTTCTTGATGACCAGCAGCTCTGGAACCAGGAGAGGAACTCCAGTCTGGACCAAGAGGACCCAGAGCCTCCACAGATTAAAGAGGAACAGGAGGAGCTCTGCAACAGTCAGGAGGGAGAGCAGCTTGGACTGAAGCAGGAGACTGATCCCTTTATGTTGACTCCTACTTATGAGGAAAGGGACCACAGTGAAGCAGAACCAACCAGTGACCAGCAGCTCCTCTCTCCCAGCTCTGCTATAGCTGAGAGCCAGGATCAGGAAGGAAGCCAGCATGGAGACTCAGGATCAGCCAGTCACAGTAGCAATGTGGACAACTCTCCCCTGTCAGAGACTCAGTCTAAACCTCCCACAGGTAAAAAGTCTGTAAAGTGTGACACTTGTGGTGGAAGTCTGATTTGGATAGACATTTCAGAATCCATACGGGTGAAAAGCCGTATTGTTGTCAAACCTGTGGAAAAAGCTTTGCACAACGGGGAAGCTTGGTGGTCCATACGAGAATCCACACAGGTGAGAAGCCATATTCTTGTGAAGTATGTGGGAAAGGTTTCACAGAAAATACTTGCAGTCCATGTGAGGATTCACACAGGTGAGAAACTGTATGTTTGCAACACATGTGGGAAGGGTTTCTGGCGGTCCTCACAACTAAAAGTTCATTTAGGAACCCACACAGGTGAGAAGCCATAGTACTGCAGCAGCTGTGGTATAAGCTTCTCTATGAAATCAGATGTGAAAAGACAAGAAATCATTTGTACAGTGGAGTCCAGGACCCGTTTTCGGTCAGGATTCTATGTTTGGAAAGTGCTGATCCACACGTTTATGACTGAGCAACACCAGCAAAGCTTTACTATGAATCAACACTTCCCTCATCTGGTTAAAGCATGTTAGGTCTCTCACCCAAAACATGTGTTACCCAAATGACCTGTAAAGTTTTCAGTTCCAAAATGTTTTGGAGTTATACTGTGTGTTATTTGACTGTTTGTTTTAAACTAACATAAAGTTACCAAGTTACCACCATAGTAGTTCAGATTATAACTACTGAGAAACTCTTTCTACGTCCACTTGCTGCCAGTTAGTTGAAATGTACATGGGGAGACAGTAATATTAGTAATTATATAACAAGCCATGCCTGAACTTAAAATATGACACATTTCACAGTGTGAAATGTTTAATGTTGGTGTCTTAATTAAATTATATTGATATAATTTGATTGTATTGACTTAAATGTGTTTATGTAAGATCACTGTAGATGTAGATTTTTTTAATCTAACCAAATGGGCCTTCACCAAAACAAGGAAGAGGCCCAACACCAACAGGGAGAAACCAGAAACAAGAGAGGACAACACTGTCATCACTTATGTGGCTGGTTTATCAGAGAAGTTAAAAAGGATCTTTTGCAACCACAATATCACAGTCAACTTTAAGCCAGGGAACACCCTGCGGCAAAGACTGGTCCACCCGAGGGACAAAACACCCAGACATAAACAGAGTGATGTGGTATATGCAATTAAGTGTAGTCAGGAGTGTAACAACTTGTACACTGTTGAAACTAAGCAGCCGCTTCACAAACGCATGGCCCAACACAGGAGGGCCTACCCCAGTGGACCTGAGTCAGCAGTCCACCTCCACCTGAAGGACAAGGGACATTCTTTAAAGAATAGTGAAGTCCAGATCCTCTCCAGAGCCATTAGGGCACATTGTTGGGCATCAAAGGACTGAAACACCACCTATGGGGATAAATATCTCCGACTCAATGCCAGTCGAGCAGAACTGATGAAGCCTCTTGGATGAGAGGTGAAACGTCTTCGACCTAAAAACCTAGTCCAGGCGAAACGTCTGTGACCTTAAAAGTTTTTTCAGCTTACTATGACCTGGATGACTGAGAATCTGCACGGACACTTTTAGTTAGATTTCTTAATTTGTTAAATGAAGTTTAAGTCAATAATTTCATGAATTATCAGTAGCCCCTTACACACTGCCTTTTCGAGACGGGATTGGTGAGCCTTGTCTTGTCAAGCAGTAAATAAAACCAGAAATAATTTTAATATGACATTTTTTTTATACTGCACCCATTATTGTGATCTATTTATTACAGGGATAAAATTGCCATTTTCACCTATAGGCCCACTCTCAATAACCCATAATGTCAGCTTTATGTATTGGCGATTTAACAGAGTGCAGTTGCTAATCTTGCCCCTCACTTCACACTTAGTAACCCATCATGATAATGGAAAGACATGTTTGTTTGTTTGTTTGCTTTCAGATTTTCATCTTTAATAAATCTGCAGTCTCTCATGTACAAAAGTGTCAGTCCCTTTGCTGTGGCACAAATGATTAGAAACAAGATCTCAGGTCAGTCTACCCTGATGTCACTGCACCATGTTCAGAGGAAAAATAAACCAATGCAACACTAAAATATTATTAAAATTCAGGATTGTGGATTAAATAGCCTATCACTCCCAAGTATAAAGTGAAAGTTGCTTTTAAGTGAATTTACTCCCTGTTGCTTATTCATTACATTTTTCATTTCATGTGTCGGCTGGAACATGACTGTACAATGCCCACTACAGGTTCAGTGTCATTTTTACGATGGACTGGAAAACTAATAATCTGGTAAGAAGCCAGGTTCAGTTGTTAAACGGTGCTGCTGTTGATAAATGTGATGCTTCATTCACTCAGTCATTCATGGATGATTTACTTGGATTTAATTGGGCTACATCACCACAGTAACATATGCTGCACAGATAACCTGCTCCAGAGTGGGTTGACTTCACAGAATCGGATAGAAACCTGTCAACAGCCTGACCGCTGACCAATCAGATCACTGGAAAAACTGATCATTCCTACAGGATCCCGACAGGGCCAAAAGAGCTTACATTATTGTGATAATTAATACAGAGGAAAAGACATGGATACTGTTAAGACCTTTGAGTCAGTCATAATAGTACATTTAGTCAATCAATTTTTTTACACACACGCACATTATAAATGGAAACAACAGTAAAAAATAATTTTTGACAGGTTTGCCACAATACAACAGGCCTAAATTAGCCTATGTTTAACTGTTTGTCTGGTGACACTTGCTTTGCCTGTGATAATATATCAGTGGTTGATGTTCTTCTCAAGATATTTTGTAAAGCCGGTTTCTGTATCAGCCAGTGTATAGCCATTACTATATATGTTTACTTTGTATATGCTTGCTGACAGATCATAGCCTGCTTTGCTAGTAAATAAAAGAGTTGGTGTTTGCTACTTTACCATCAGTACAATGTTTACTGTATAAATCTGGCTTTGCTCTGAGCCAGTGCACAGCCGCTGTTCTATGTGTGTACACCCCGTATATTTTGTATGTTTAAGTAACCTACATGATTATTTTGCCTTTCACAGAGAAATATTTTACTGTTTGCTCATCAAAGTATACAGCATATTTTTGTAATCACATAGAAAAATGCACAACCAATTTTACAGTAGATATATAGAATTTATACTGATCTCTTACTGTGCATACTGTGTGTCTTGTCATTGCCACAGCTATGATGTTGATCATCATCAATATTGAACTTGAAGATGACACTGTCACGTTGGTAATACTTTGATTCTGTTGAGTGGTTTCTTGACAACTATTTTTACTGTGCTGTATGAAATTATACACATAAAAGCTTGAAATGAATTGAAAGACAATGTCTTACAGGGACAGTTTCTTCCCCCAGGCTGTCACCTGGATGAATACTTAACCAAAGACAGTATGACTGGACAATAACCCTCAGTATAATACCTGTGTATATATACATTGTACAGATTATACAGACTCGTACAGGTCTCTAGTTCCTAAGTACTGTTTTATCCCTATTTATCTCATTTCAATGAAAATTCCTTTGTTGTCTGCATTGTTTACTGTCTGTTTATACTGCTTTTTCTGCATTGTTTGCACTGTTTGTTAATGTTAATACTGCTGTTTTTGTTATATTACACAGCCATATGCTGGTTTACTGTTTGCACATTGAGAGCCGATGTACCAGAGACAAATTCCTCGTGTGTCCGTCACACCTGGCCAGTAAAGCTGATTCTGATTAAACTATTCATCAAACAAGTAAATTAATAAAAGCCTCACGTCGAGAACTGTTACAAAGATGTAATATGTGTTTGTCAGTTGAAAGTTTGGTGTGTTTTTAACCTTAAAGCGGAAACAAAGCTGCCTCGTGTGCACCGACGGTGGGACATCCGGCGGAAGTAAACAAAACGCTAGCAGCGTTGGCTCTCTGGATGTGTGACGTTAGTTGAAGGTGTTGCCGTAGTCTTATTGCAGTTAAATCTTTCATTCGTAACAAATCAACAATGTCTTCAGTTCAGCATCTGAGAGAGTTCGTCACCGAGCGACTAACTGCTGCTGCTGAAGAAATATTCGGAGTCTTTGAGAAAACTATCGTCGAGTACGAGGAGGAGATCGAGCGACAGCGCAGACTGCTGGATATCGTTTGGAAACCAGAAATAAGGCTCCACAGGCCAGGTCTGTAAAACCTCGATTCTCTTAACAAAGCTAATTGGAAAATGTCATATATTATCCAAACCGATCAAATTAGTTTTATTTGCTCAGATTTCTGAAGTTAACATCTTATCCAGCCATATTAAGCCAGACAACACCGTTGTTGTGTCTATGCGTACCCCCCGGATGCTTTCCCCCTGTTTAGAACTGTTTTTACTGTAGCGCCCTTTCTCCGAGGTTAGGTATTGGGAAAGGTTTGGGTTGCGGTTAGGATGTAACACTTAGCGTTTTTTCACACTTGGTCCCTTTTTAAATGAACCGAACTCAGTCCTCTTGAAGTGGATCAAAAAGGGACCCAGTTCTTCTTGTGTTCACACTTTGAGATTATTTAAAAGAGGACTCTGTTCACTTTCTGGTCCACTTCAGCTCTGATGGGGCATCAGTCCTCTTTCTTGTCATACTATGGCTACTCTGGAGCTCTCAGACCTTTACCACATTGGCATGTGGCTTTTATGTCAAAGGATTCACCACTTTGTCTCATTTTGTTGCATGTGGTAAAGTACTTTTGACATAGTATCCTTCATTTTGATGCAGCACTGCAGTAGAGTCCTAATGAATCTTCTCACTCTCATATCAGCTGAAAACTGAAGGAAAACTTTAGCGTGTCTGTGCTCTGTAGACAGCTGTAGTTTAATGTGTTCTTTGTTATATATCTGGAGTAGTTTTGCCCTTGCACCAAACTACTCACCCGTAAGAGTATCTTCAAGTTTTAACAGTAATACTCCTGATACTGTTTAACACTCCGGTCCTTTACTCCTGTCAGTTGTTTTGGGGGGTTTGTTTTGTTTGTTTGTTTAAGTAAAAAAAAAAAAAAAAAAATTAGGACAGAATTAACATTGATTTATTTTGTCATATTTACATTTAGTGTTCTTTAGTAGCAAATTGCATTAGCATTGTTTTGTGATTAATGAAATGTAATAACTGAACACAAGATTTTTTTTCTTTGACAGTAGGCTGCTTTTACTGTGAGGTGCCTCCAGCTCACAAATCACCAAATCCGCCCCTGCTCTGTGAAGTGAAACTAATCTTCTGAGCAACAGGTCACATGATGCTTTGGCCATTTTAGACTGAATTTATGAACAAACCCACACGATTCAACTGGCTAATGGTTATTATAGTAATTTAGTTGATTTTGTGCATGGACTCAAGGCTGCTTAAATACATAACATATCTGGGCAAGGAGAGATGCTACGAGCTATTCAGTGGAAAACTGCATTTCTCCATGATGAATATTCGCTAGATATTTCTGGTGTTTCTACCTGTACATGCAAAAGACTAGAAGCAAACCTGGAACACTTTGTGTTCACAGTGCACAGATTAACTGAACCTCACCATACTTGAAACGAACCGAACCGAGACCACCTCCTGACCTATAATCACCTTTTCATCAACATGAGCCTTTTTGATGTAATAGCATATGTGCAGGCGGCTGTGAGGCAGTTGCACTGAGGCCGTCTGCAAAGTGCAACATTGAAAAGAGGTACAACAAAAATATTCAGTACCTTCATTTCCAGACGCTGTTTTACAAATCAGGTGTTGTGGTATAACTAACAGGAGACCTGTGATATGTGAAGGGATTTTGACTCCCCTTTTTGTCACTGGCTGTGAGCCAGCTTGTGACGGTGACACTACCACACCAAGAGTCAACATTATTGTAGTATCTCTTTGGTATTGCATTAGATAGATGGTCCCTGATCACTCGTCTTGTTCATTGTGTGTGTATTTCTGTAAAAAAAAAAAAAAAGGCATTGTCTGATTTGGGCAGCACGGTGGCACAGTGCTTAGCACCATTGCCTCACTGCGAGAAGGTTCTGGGTTCAGGCCCCACCCGGGACCTATCTGTGTGGAGTTTGCATATTCTGCCCGTGCTTGCGTAAGTAAGTAAGTACATTTTATTTATATAGCACCTTTCACAGACAAGGTCACAAAGTGCTTTACAAAGTCAAAAGATAAAAAGAGATAAATAATATACATAAGCCTAAAAGTACTCACATAGCACAACACAATTTATGGGTTCTTTCCAGGTACTCCGGCTTCCTCCCACAGTCCAAAGACTTGCAGCTTAGGTTGATTGGTGTCTCTCAATTGCCCATAGGAGTGTGTGTGCGTGTGTGTGGTTGTTCGTCTATGTGTTAGCCCTGCGATGGATTGGCGACCTGTCCAGGGTGTACCCCACCTTTGCCCGATTTCTGGCCAGGATTGAAATGTTCATTTTCTGTTTTATTTCCTTTTGAATTTTGGTTAAAATAATCCTCCATATGCTCCCTTGGTCCCTCCAGAGCTGCCACAGCAACACATTTGTCAGGAGCAGGGGGTTCTAGGTGACCAGCAGCTCTGGAACCAGGAGAGGAACTCCAGTCTGGACCAAGAGGACCAAGAGCCTCCACAGATTAAAGAGGAACAGGAGGAGCTCAGCAGCAGTCAGGAGGGAGAGCAGCTTGGACTGAAACAGGAGACCGATCCCTTTATGTTGACTCCTACTTATGAGGAAAGGGACCACAGTGAAGCAGAACCAACCAGTGACCAGCAGCTCCTCTGTCACAGCTCTGCTGTAGCTGAGAGCCAGGATCAGGAAGGAAGCCAGCATGGAGACTCAGGATCAG